AATTAAAGAGCACTTTTAGAAGCTGCCCCTGCATTCTTTGCAGGGCAAGAAAACATCTCCATTTGATAATTTCTCCATACCAATCTTTCTCCTTACCTACGTCTTGTGTTTTTCCCCACTAATAACATATAGACATTTACCTAACTGATTAGTGAATGTAAGAAAGTTATTAATTTTGTTAGCAAAAATTATTTCTTGTAAAGAGGAGCTGCATGTATTGTGCAATAGGTTGTGTGTGTTAGAAGTATGTATGCTTTTATTTCGGAATGAAGTTTTCTTTAAGTAACTCTAGCTTTTCAGTTTTGGTGTTACTCTACCAATGAAAGCAAGGCTTTTAACTGCTAATGTATGCAATATGTGTTTAATTTTTCAGGGTCCAAGTTAGGAATATGGCAACTTTGAAAGACAGTAAGTAATTCTTTCTGTGTACTTTTCTGTGGTGGCAAATAGGGGTGATATTTCTTAGTGAATTCTGAAACCTTGACTTCTAAATTCATGTTCAGGGCCTTGCTTGTTTTGGTATCATAACCTGGAAAGAAAAGAGTCCTTTGATCTGCATACAGTTGCACATTTGGCATGGCATTTTCCTTGTTTTACATAGGATTCAGGATTCATTACATTGTGTTTACACATTTAAGTCCCAATCATATAGTGTCTTGAAGGATGCCTCAGAGTTACAGGCTAGAAGAGATCTCTTTCTTTCAAATGGGACATGTCCCCACAAGCTGCTTCGCAAATCTTGCTAAGAAAAATAGTGAAGGGTTTCACTAAGTCTGACATAATTTGAAGGCATATGACAAATTAGTGGTTGATATCTTTGTTCTCATCATACTCTCCCCCCCCCCCCATTTTTGCTTAATTTTTTTTCTCATCTGCGTAGTTACCCGGCGCCTGAAGTCAATCAAGAACATTCAGAAAATCACCAAGTCCATGAAGATGGTTTCAGCAGCGAAGTATGCCAGAGCAGAAAGGGAGTTAAAGCCTGCCAGAGTTTATGGTGTGGGAGCTTTGGGTAAGGAAACTTCCTGTTTTCTAACCGAGTTGCAATAAAAAAAAATTAACTTTATTCCTCTGTAAAGATATTGAATAAAAAGACAAAATAAACTAGTATTTCCTGACCTAGAAATGTCTGATAAAGTACTTTGACCAGGCTTTCGACAGTTTTTAAAACATGTATTCAGTAAGGATCATTACACGTTACACTGGTTCTTAACAGCTCATTTTCTGATAATGTTTAATAGTGAGATACTGCATTTTTAAATGTACCACCACCACCACCACTACTACTACTACTACTAATAATAATAATAATTGTATTTCTTACCAGCCTCTCCTCATTACTATTTTAAGAAATCAGATAAGATATAATAGTTGCTTCATCTTATTACTAGAAAGACTAGGACTTCAGTTGCTTTAGAGATTTCACTGGCTTTTATTAATTACTTCTTTCTTTATGATAGTAAATACTGGAAATATTGAAGTATGTTTTTTAAAAAAAATTACAATGAAATTATCAAGGTGTATTCTATGCATATATCTGGGCTTGGACAGAAAGCATGCCATATTTATTATTATTATTATTATTATTATTACAGCTTTTATATTCCGCCCTTCTCACCCCGCAGGGGACTCAGGGCGGATTACAGTTTACACATATATGGCAAACATTTAATGCCATTTTTTGACATACAAACATATACAGACATACACAGAGGCTATTTAACTTTTTCTGGCCGCCAGGGGAGCTGTCGCTTTCATCGTCCATCTGCGACACTGATGAAGTACTTCCGCATTCCCCGCATGCTTTTTGCTGGAGTGCTTGCTGGAGTCTTTTTTTTATGGCCTCATAAATTAGTTAATTTAGCCTCCCCACACTTTAAGGTGGTACCTAATTTTCCTACTTGACAGATGCAACTGTCTTTCGGGTTGCAAAGGTCGACAACAGGCTACACAATTGGTTGGAAACCCACTCCAACCCGGGCTGGCTTTGAACTCATGACCTTTTGGTCAGAGTGATCTTAATGCAGCTGACACTCAGCCAGCTGCGCCACAATCCCAAAGACTATAGGTACCAGCCATAGTCTTTGGCTGGTACTCTGTTAGTGCTATATGCCAGTATAACACTAGTATATAGCTTTTTTATGATGATGGAGGGAGGAGTTCACCCTTGAACCTCTGTAACTCATCTGCCTCCCATAGCCCCTCTGAAAGTATGGCCATATAGTGGCTGAGGAGGCTGAGAGCATTTGACTATGTACCTGTAGCTAGATGCACGACAGCAACAACATCCTCCTAGAACAGGCATGGGCAAACTTCAGCCCTCCAGGTGTTTTGGACTTCAGCTCCCACAATTCCTAACAGCCTACTGGATGTTAGGAATTGTGGGAGTTGAAGTCTAAAATATCTGGAGGGCCAGAGTTTGCTCATGCCTGTCATAGAATCGAAGAGTTGGAAGAGACCTCATGCGCCATCCAGTTCAACCCCATTCTGCAAAGAAGAAGCCTCGTAGAGGCTCTGAAAAATAACTTGGTTGTGCATTCAGCTATATGGAACAGATGCATTTGTTTTTCTTTCTTTTCTTAGCTCTCTATGACAAAGCAGAAATCAAGGCCGCTGAAGACAAAAAGAAGTACCTTATCATTGGGGTTTCCTCCGACCGTGGTCTGTGCGGTGCTATCCACTCTTCTGTTGCTAAGAGTATCAAGGCTCATATTGCCAACCTCACGGATGCGGGTAAAGAAGTCATGGTGGTTGGAGTAGGTGATAAGCTGAGAACTCTCCTTCACAGGTAACAGAATTCTGCCCTGCCCTGTATATCCAACACTTACTCTTCAGTACTGATCATTGATCATTTTTTATTATCCCAGACTGAAGACATCACTTTAACATGTAAAGCAGAGATACTCACTGAAGGCCGCTGAAAGCAAACCTACAAGCAGCATATATTTGAATTACTGCATGCCTAGAATGCTTCTTAACAATGAATTTTTATTTATTTACTATATTTATATCCTGTCTTTCTTGACCCCAAGGGGGACTCAAGGCAGCCTTAAAAACAATATACATCCAATATACAATTAAATAAACATTTCAATTAAATTTTTAAACACGATTAAGAGCATTAAAACATACAAAACATTGCAATTACAACTACAAAACCACATTATCCGCAATCATAGTCAGGCCATTTTTAATACTGTTTATATTTAATTCTGTTTTGATGTTTATATATTTGTATATTTTAAATTGTGTACTAATTCTTTTATGTTAAGCCGCTTTGAGTCACCTTCGGGAGAGATAAAGCGGGGTATAAATAAATATAAATATAATAATAGTAATAGAACAATAGAAATAGGGCCCCTGGAGGTGCAGCGGGTTAAACTGCTGAACTTCAGAAATTGCTGACTGAAAGGTTGGTGGTTCGAATCTGGGCAGCATTGTGAGTTCCGGCAGTTAGGCCCAGCTTCTGCTAACCTAGCAGTTAAAAAATGTAAATGTGAGTAGATCAATAGGTACTGCTTCTGTGGGTAACGGTGCTCCATGCAGTCTGCCAGCCACATGACCTTGGAGGTGTCTACGGACAACACGCTCTTCGGCTTAGAAATTAGATAAGATGTTTTTCTGTATTTTGAATCTGTCTTGTGCCACTTTTCTTCAAAGATTATAAATGAAACAGACCATTACCGCTATTATAATATGGGGCAAAGAAAGACATTTGAAGCTAGAATTTATCTCAGGAGGAGAGCTTCATCTTCTCAATTAGAGGCATTTAGCCTTTTGGCCCAGATATCTCTGGACAATTCCCAGAAGCAGACTCATGCAGAGAGCGTAGAAATAAAATAAGAAAAATGTGTTGTTTTGATCAACGTTCTTCATTTACTGATTTACTTTTTATTTTAGGACGCATGGCAAAAACTTCCTGTTCACCTTTAAAGAACTTGGAAGAAAGCCTCCCACCTTTGGAGATGCATCAATAATTGCCTTAGAGCTGCTGAATTCTGGCTATGAGTTTGATGAAGGATCTGTCATCTATAATCGGTTCAGGCAAGAGAAATAGGAATTTTGTGCAATTTTCTTTCAAATATTTCTCTCCTTGGCATTCACTCCAACATTCCTCCCCTCCTCTTTCCTCTCCTATATACATAGTGGATGCATTCTGGGGCTTTGTGTGAATATGCAAAACCACAGCTAACAGCTGGCTCAAGAATACCATAGCACCATGCTGGAAGAGCTAGAAATGATTGCAGAAGATGTATATTGCCACATGCTGTGGATACAAGTCCTGCAGATATGGGGCCCATATAGTATATCACAAGTCAGCTTTCTTCTTTCCATAGGTCTGTCATTTCCTACAGGACAGATGAGAAGCCAATCTATTCTCTTGACACCGTTTCTGGTTCTGGTAAGTCCAGATGAAGCCTTTGGCAAGTTGGCAGTGTTTTCCCCCCTCCCTAGTTGTTAGAAACTTATCA